GGCCATACATATTAAATAAAATTATGATGGGAAAAGATTGGTTTTGAAGGGTAGACTCTAGGTCAAGAGTGATTTAAAAGATTCTCCCCACTTCTGAAGTTCATTAACGTCCTCCTAAATTTAAAGATCTTCATTTCACGATAAGGATACATGTGAAAAATATGTAACTCAAATGACTTTTAAAAATGTTGATAAGTGAATTTTAAATGTCAAGGTCAAAGAAGCTAAGATGCTTGCTTCCAGCATATTTTATGATTACTTCTTGTTTCAAAAGGGGAATTCTTGTGAGATAATGGGGAAAATGCTTTAAGTTGTGACTTGTTAGGTTTTCCTTTAGTGTTTTTTTTTTTTTTTATCATTTCGTATACAAAAAGGGGTTTTCAAACCTCAATACTGTCAGCTTACCATAAAGGGACAGAAAAGCAAACCAAAAACTTCCACTCGAAGTGAGTAAAAAAGAAGTAAAACGAATTTAATAGTTATTAAAAGCACCTCTTTTGGTTAGATTTAAAATATTAAGAATTACCATGTTAAGCTTTTCTTGTTTTTTAAATGTTGTCATTATGTATGTACACATTAATGATTTCAAGTGATTTATCTAACTGATTCCTTTTGTTACCTGGCTAGCAGGGAAAAGGGGTCGAGGCCGGTCCTGACCTGTTACAATGAAGACTGACTTGCTATGTGGGATTACACCAGAAGCTTGCAGTGGAGTAATGGTAAGGAAATCAAGCAACCTTAAATATCTCGGCTGTGTAGGAGCATATTCTATTACAGAAGACCTTCCTATGAAGATCATGGATTCAAATACGGGACATTGAACTAATACTTGGACTTTGATATGAATTTCTTTAACAATTTTCTCTGCAGTGCAAGTTATTAAACTAAAGCTACTCTATTTTCCAAATGTGTTCCAACAGAAATCCTTCATAACTTCTAGCATGGTATCTTAATAAAGTTCTTCTCTTTAAAAAATCTGCTCTAAGTAGATTTTTCCCCTGTTTTTTGAAATTAAGGATTCCAGCAGTGGTATTCTGAAATATTATCTTGAATTTGTGCATTTAAATTTTATTGCAGTGGTATAGATGAATTCCACTGTTGGTATCCTTAACTTTTATTTCTGCTCACCAAGGTTAATCATGATTGTCTATCCTTTTTATAGTAATAATCACTTTTGAATTGTGTTCAGATATGCAGTTTCAGGTGTAATCATCAGAGCTGGTTAGTCAGGCATTCCAGATAGTGGTTCTTTTCAGAACCTTTTTTAAAGGGTTGGTTAACTACCTCAGTAGCAGAGGATTGAACTATACCCTGTCTGTACTGTACATAGAAAATCTTTGTAGATAAAAGCAAGGCTTGTTAAATATGATATGAGGGTAAGATTTTAATATACCAAATGTAACATTCTTAGTTGCCTTTAGTTTCAGAGGCTTGTAAGACTTCCTCATGACCATCATAACAGGCCTTGCTTTTGTCGTATTTTGTGGCTGAAAAAGCAGCCTTGCTTCTTCAGATATTGTAGTTATTTGGATGTATAATAGTTTAGCAAGATGTTACTTTTGTAAGACATCAGATGTTCAAAAAAAGTGCATCCGAACTTGTACTAAATACTGCAGTGTCCCTTTATAAAAAGTCAGACTAAAACTGACAATTGTACAGCAAAGCCTGACATTTGGATATTTTGAAGTTTTTTCATAAATCATAGAAATTAGTATATGGCTGTAGTTTAGCTTTTTAGGTAAAAGGTATGTTTCATTAGTGCATTTCTTACTGCTGATCACTGTAAAGATGTGAATCAGCTTTCCATTTCTTATGCAGGTCATGATAACTTGTAGAGTAGAGTACAATCATTTGTGCTATGTTTTTAATTTTCTAAAGCACCTTGATGACAGTGAGTGTTCAGTGGTGAAGCATCCTCTTATTGAATCACCCACAGAGAAATTTTTTGCCAAGTCCTAACTTGATAGCTTAAAGTTAAAAGTAAAATTATGGTTTAGTTAGGACTTGGAATAAAGAAATCCCATCTCCCCCTCTCCAAAGGGATACTGCAGTTATATCATAAACCCAATAGGCACCACAATGAAGATCAGAGCTTATACTTAATTAAGGTTTTATACACACCAGTTCCCCAGTAAATGCAAATTTAACAAAATTAGACATGTCATATGTTTAAAATGCTCATGGCAAACAATCATTTTGCATTCCTGCAAATAAAATTGTTTTATACTGTAAGCTGGAGGCGAGTGTAACTTATTTTTGTAATAAAGTTTTTATTTTTTTTATGTGTCATTAATATAAATGTGTGTTAGTATAGAAATCTTCCTGGTTTAAAAACTTAGAATTGCACACATTTCAGTATGTTTATTTGTACTTAACATAATTTTTAGAATAGTGGTTGCCAATAGCCTGTATGTTTCACATTAATTGGTTTTTTGTTATCTTAATAAACCATTTTAGTATGTTGTATGTCAGTTACTGGGATAGCTGGGACATAGAGTGTAATTTAAAAATTTGTCAATAAGTATTCATTGGAATATATGTAAATGTGCCTTGCCGGTTGTTGAAACTTATCTACAAAATGACTATGGGGTGACAAAATTAGTTCCTGGTGCTTAATGAAACTTTCTGCCACTGATTTTATATATTACCCCGTGCTTTTTTAAAGTACATTTCTCTCAAATCTAGTGTGAGTTTGAGGGCTACACAAAACATGTACATTTCATTCTAGCTAATGAGTATGCTAGGTTGTGGAAAGTGGGTAAATCATGTAGCCTTCAGTAAAATTCAATCTCAGTGTAATCCTTGGTACTGTCATCTTCCAGGTCCAAGGAGTTATATGATCCCATCTTAAGAGGTCATTGCCATGCCAATTGGCACTTTACTGTCATACCATTTTTTAAGGGACACTGTCAAGGTGTTGAAGTTAATTCTCAGATTTATTTGTTGGGATTTTAGAACAGGATTGTTTGACTTAAACTAAGAACTGCATTTTTGAAGTTTAAAGATGAGCACTTTTGTGAGTTCACAAATGTGTTCTTTTAGAAAACTATATGAAGCTGTGATCTTCTAAGACTATTTGGCATTTTTAGTTTGGGGACTTTGGAGGGAAAAATGATGTAAAGAAATTGTGAAGAATTGATGGTTATACTTAAGGGTAATGTAAACAGTGATGACAAAATATGTATACACTCAAGTGAAATTACTTGACAGTGTTCATTTGAATAACTTTGAATTCAAGCCATTATAATTACTTTTAAAATTAAATATAATTTGCACTGTTCTGATAATGGGTGCAGTTTTTGAGCAATATAATCAGCTAAGTATGCATGTAGTGATTAGTGATGTGGACAATTAAGTTCTGAGAAGAAATACTAACAGGCATTTTCAAACTTAAAATTCTATAGTAAAATCAGTATCAAACTGTTAACAGACATCAAGGAAAACAGGCAATGCATATAAACATACCTTTGAATGTTGTGTGGCCTATAAAGCAATAATGCAATTTATATGGAATGTCATGGGATATAAGAAATGGAAATGCAAAGAAAGATAATCCTTTAGTAAAAATGTCAACATGTTAAAGGGGGAATGTTAACTAATGTAGGTTATTGCTATTTGTGATTTGTTTATGGGTTCTTGGCTTTGACAGCTTCAAAGAATGGACACATACAGAGTAAAAAAATTTGTATATATTTTCAAGGAAAGGGTCCTAAATCCAAGTCCCTTCCTTGGGATGTAAAAATGTATTCTTAAAACATTTTGATTGTTAAAACTTAAAGTTACTTAACCCAGACAGACACAAGATTTTGTTTCTGCAGACTACTTGGCAATCAAAAGTGATCATAAATTTATCAGTTTTCAAAAAGTCATTTTTGTGAGAAGATTGTGTTGTCTGTATTCTAAGGATGCTTTTTTGGAAGATGTTCAGCTTTTTCTACAGGAGCAGATGTTAAAAATGGAGGGAGAATTCAGCACAAAAAGATCTGTCATACATTCATGGTGACGTTTGTAACATGAGAAACTTCTTACTGATTGCAGCGAATTTCACTTAACAATATAAACATTTTTGTCAAAATATGAAAAAAGAAAACTATTATGTGGGTGATCCAGCTCATTCATTTGTAAGATAATCAGAAATGGTGAACATCGAGCTAGATGGGGCAAAATAGATGAAATCAGTATAACTTAATTCAGTAACTCAGAAATTGTTAGTCAAAAACATAGCAAAAGGTCACCATGTAATTGTTGAAAGGGAGAACATGTAGCCTTTAATAGGAGAAAATGGAAAGTAGAAAGGCTTCATCCATTCAGAAGGGAGCTAATCCTACAATAAGTGATTGTTCCAATCATAGCACTCAATAGGACATACCACTACTTAATACGTTTGAACCAGTTCTCACATTTTTACCTGGGCAAATTAGTAGATGGACTTTTCAGTCTATCTTTTTTAAATAAAAGATACTTAAAGACACAAATTGTGTTAGCACCACAGTCTGCCTTCAGTAATATGCTTAAAAAATTTTTGAGGACCAGAGCATTGAGTTGGATAAACAACCTTTTTTCAAATGTGAATCAGTATTACTAACACTGGGTCAAAAATTAGGTTTAATATTAGCAGTCTGGTAAACATTTCAGAAAAAGTCTGACAATGAGAAACAAAAGCTTGTTACCTGACTAGTATTTTTGTTTAAAAAATTAGTTGTCTTAGCTTATTTAAATTGTCTTTTTATTTATCCATTAAATTTATATTTATTTCTTTCATCTCACTGAAAACTGTCTGCAGGCCCTTTGTTTGGATTAGATTGGTGAAGTACTGTCTTTTGCCAAAAACCTCAAATTAACTGTTCTTTTAAACATAGTGGGTTTTGTGCTTGTTCGGAGATCAGTTCAAAAACTATCTGTACTATCTGTACTGCCTCTGATGTTGATTTTATGTATAGCATAAGGAAGCTAGCTCTGACTATATTTTCCTAAGAATAAAGACCTATTTTTGTAGCATGTCTTAGGATCTCCAGGAGTCCAAGAGTTATTGTGAGTGTCCTCCATTTCATCATTTTTTCACATAACAGCTTTTTAAACATTTTGGGGGTCATTAGAAATCTGTGTCATGGTTGGATTATCTTATACATTAAAATAATCTAGTCAATGATATAAAAGATTTTTCCCCAAGATACCCCAACTGCCCTACTGCAAGCATGTGACTGGGAGTTGTAAAGAATAAATCTTGGGCTGGTCTTCATTTAATTCTAATGTTGGAAACGTTCTGTGGTCGTGTACATGCCTTGGACTTGATGAAGTGAATAGTAATTTCTGCTTTTCTGGGAACATGGCCAACTGTTAGTGTTCTTCCAATCTTTGCATTCTATCACTGGTGAATTAAATCTTCCTGAAGATTGTAATGAGAAATTGAGACAGCTGCAGGTAACTCAGGAGACAGTAATAAACATCTCTAAATAAAATTATTTAATTTTAACTGCAGGTGAGGTCAAGTAAGTGTACTAATTGGTTTTTTAGCTAAGCTATCAAAGAATGGGGAATTTATAAATTGTCTAGAGCTTTTAAGTTACTTTTTGCATAGTTAGTACCTAGGGTTTCTGAAAACTGATATCTGAAAAGAATTTTCAGCCTAGAGATTAGATTAAGACTTGAGTTTAGGAGATGTCCTAATAACTTTGGTAATTAGAGTCGTCAAGTGCTAACAACTTCTCAAAATATTTTAGACAGACAATAAGCTTAGTGTAACTTTAAAATCTATATGGTAAATGACAAACACATTTTACTTTATAAAGTGTTTAATATTCATAAATTCTTATTTCTTGCTTTGGATTTTTCAGTTGTATTCTCAAAGGGAGATTTTTGTGACAATTTTAAGTTACAATGCTTAAGGGAGTTAACATCTTTTGTCATTTCTGAACTACAGTCACTATTGCATGTTTTAGGGCAAAATGCTAAGGAGTTGGTGTGAACAAGCCATTGCCATAGATTATATAGGCTGAATGCTTATTGACTAACTATACAAGTCTGCTATATTAGGTTTCATATGATAAGACTAGCTCTTAACACTTCTGGAAGAGTTTCAAGGTGTCACATGCTATGGCATGGCTGATGCAGTGGTGTTGGTTTTAAATGTGATGAAAATTGGATAATTATGGAGTTTATGTAGAAAATACTGCATCTTTTGCCAGCAAATATACCAGTTAGGAGGATCCCATATCCTGGTCAAATCCTTATGACTTAATTTTAAGACAATACTCTGTTTCAGTGGTCATGTTAGTTGAATGCTTTAACTTCAAGAATCAAGACCTAAAATTGCTGTAACTGTGTTAAGTTAATTACAAAGCAAATATCAATCACTGTCTTTTAGATTTGGCCAAATACACTTTTCATTTAGGCAAATTTTGTTCTTTTCCTTTTTCTTTTTTTAAATTAAAGAAATTGAGCTGTTAGCAGTACTCAGATAGGAAAGCAGCTGTAATTACTTCTGTGTATACTGCCATATTTGAAAAAAGGCTTTACTCAAAAATTACATCATAACAAATACTAGTGGATATTCCAGTTTTCAAGAAAATTCTGTACAGCAGATACTTTGGTTATTCAGCTTTATCTGTACTTAGTGCATTTTTTGATCAGTCAGCTGAAGTTACTACTGTAAACTGGCCATCTGGTTTCTGGTTTTTCTTTTTGCCGTCTTTTAGAATGGAAGCTCCTTGAGGGCAAGGAAGTCTGAAATAGCTGTGTTAAACATTTGAAATGTTTTACAGTGTGATGGAAATTAGTGGGTTTTTTTGAATCAGACTTGTGATATACAGTGATCAAAAATTTTCACTTAAATTTGATGTGGCTTTTAATGAGCACAAAACGCTAATGTTTTGTAAGATTATGAAAATCATGTTGATCTGATACTTTTAAGGGAATCAACATTGTTGAGTAGTGATGGAAAAATGTGTTGTTGGATATTTCTAAACCAAAACTTGATGGTACTTTTAAAAACTAAAGCAGTTAAATCAAAAAACATTGAAATGAGATGAAAGCCTGCTCACATAATTCTCCTGGTACAGTGAGTATGTTGTACTGTTTAATTACTATATTTAAGCCATATCATTCACCTTTCTGAAGAATTTACTGTCATGTTATCCCTGCACAACTATTTTAAATGCAGTTACTTACTTGAGTTACTCAAAAGCCTGTTTGAATTTTGACAGCGCTTTCCTATCATAAGGAAAAAACTGCATACATACTTTCCCTTCATATTCAATTTCCGTTAGCTGACTCCTGTCAGTTTTAACTCTTTACAGTTCCTATAAACATTCATGATGCTTAATGTATATTCATCTATAACTCTTCTCGCCTTTTGGAGGGCCATTGTAAGAGTTGACAATATTTTATTCCAGTTTGCCTAGATTCAAGTTATTACTGAAACGTGTACCATGACTTCGATTTACCTGTTCCCAGAAGTGAAGGCTGAAATACAACTGAGCTCTAGTTATTTAATTGTATTTTATTAGTATCAACATGGAATTCCTTTTTTTTCCCCCAGTGAATGTTGTGTTCAACTACATCCCATTCCACTGCTTGCTCTTAGATTTATTTTCGTATATTTTTAGAAATTTTGAGTTGTAAATAGCCTCTGTAGTTGAAAGTATCTTCCCTTCTTTAAAATATAAAAATTTTTTATTTATTTGAAAGTTACAGAGAGAGGTATTCATCAGGTGGTTTATTCTGTCCAGGGTTTGGCTTGGCCAATGTCAGGAGCCCAGGGGCCCTCCCCTTCCGGCTCCCCAACACCCCACCAAAATGAAAGGCAGATTTTAAAGAGAGAGGAGACTGAGCGGTCTTCTGATCGGTTTTCACTCCCCAAATGGCTGCAACAATCAGATCTGAGGCAATCCAAAAGTGGGAGCCAGGAGCTTCTTCCAATTCTTCCACATAGGTGCAGTGGCCTGCACCTGGTCCATTTCCACTGCCATTAACGGGAAACTGGACTGGAAGTAGACCAGCTGGATCTCACACTGAGCATCCTGCGCAGTAGCTTTACCCATTAACCACAACACCAGTCTTGTTAATTTTTGTCCTTCAGTGGGTAGTTTGAACATAGCAGTCTAATTTCAATCTAATTTTGCACTAGAACTTTGAAATCTAGTGTTAGTCATAAGTCTACCTGAATGTAGTTGGTTGTAGCCGATTTGTTTTTTCTTGACATTTTTATTGCCCGTAAAGTTATAGGTTTTTTCATTTATTATTGCCTTTTAATTCAAAACTTAAGTTACTAACAGTTTTGCTTTTAACTATTGCTGCCTTTTTTTCTTTTGAGCTTGGAACTGGATTGATTGATTCTTAAACATTGCCTTGTTCAAACTGAATCTTAAACATTGCCTTGTTCAACGCTGTAGCTTTTCCTGTTTCACAGAAATGGAGTTATCAGTTTCATAGAATAAGTTGACATACTAGTTTAGCGTGTGTGATTGCTTCTGGTACTACTGGACCTGCCTACCAAGGTGACTGGCTGTGAGTTCTCTGTGTAAGAACGTTAAGAACTTAGCTTTTATTTGTAGTGTCCTTGGGAACAGGAAGATAAGTAGGGTACTAACCAAGTTAACAAAAGTTCCCAGCTTGTATATTTTGAGAAGGATTATACAGTGTTGGACATCTCATTTTATTTCTCCTCTCTTACAAACCAGGCCTGTTTTGCTCAGTTATCCCTGCTATGGGAAAGAGTTAACCCTGTGTCTGCGAAATTAGTATAAGTTTCATTTCTTTTTTTTATACATAAATGTATGGATACAAAGTTCTACTTAAATAGTAACTGGGTGGTGAAACACAGTAGTATAGTGTACATTGTTGATATCAGGAGAAAGATCTCTCCTCCCCTGGTTCTTTTCCCAAGTGGCCACAACTGATCTGAAACTAGGAGCCAGGAGCTTCTGGATTTCCCTCGTGGGTGCAGGGTCCCAAGGCTTTGGGCCGCCCTCAACTGCTTTCCCAGGCTGCAGGCAGTGAGCTGGATGGGAAGCAGGGCTGCTGGGATTAGAACCGGCACCCATATGGGATCTTGGTGAATGCAAGGCAGGGACTTTAGCCACTAGGTTACCATGTTTGCCCCAGAACAAAATCATGTTACTGTGTTTCATTTTGCTGGTTTGTAGTCATATCTAAGAAAATTTAATCTTGAATATTGCATCCAGCATGCAAGGAATATGAATTGAGTTATTTCTTCATTGGGAAAAATAGGTTATTTTTGAAAGGTTTGGAACATGTAGTTTCTGGACACTATCAGTTATTTTAAGTTTCTCTGTTTTCCGCTCTTTTTTAATATTTAACAGCATGTGTATGCATTGGCTATTTCCACTAGGTAAAAGGCATTAATTGTTTGTAGTGGCAGGAACTTTTTAAGATTGGATGAGAACATGTTCATCTGTTTTGGGAACATATAGAACTTTATCATTAGAGCAGCCGAGCAGCCATACAGTTCTGAACATCCCCAATTCCTTCTGAATCTTTTTGCCTTGATTTTTACATAAATCCTAGTCAAATGTGATATGTTGGCTATTACACACCTTGCGGGTATTAAAGCAGCAGTTCTTAGTTAGGTTTAATGTTAAATATTTGTTGATTGCTAGCAAGAAAGCAATTGACTTTAAAGTTTTTGATTCAAAAGTGTTAGCTAGTTTTAAAATTGTAATATTTGGCCTGTCATACTATGTAAGCGGATAATGAGTAAGCTAAAGAATAAGTAGACCATGGTCTTTGAGTTAAAGCTGTTGGACAGAAGAGTTATTATATGGCTGCTTACAGGGATGCCTTTGGTATTGACAGATTTTTCCCATTCTGATAATCCTGGTTCCTACCTTCAGTTTTTATTTTTAAACCTGTATTTTTTTGTTAAAGTTACAAAGTTGTAGGTTCCTGAAGAAAAATACTGTATATGCAATGTTAAAAGTTTCATGATTTAGATAATTTCATCTCTCCCACTCCCAGTAGTTTGGGTGAAAAATTCTGTCGG